AAGAACGGGGGTAATTTTGCATATAGATAAAACAGAAAAGTTAATCCCAACTCAATTGTTGATGTTAATGAAGTATGTTAGTGCTAACTCAACTCTGATATCATAATAATATAAAATATGGTTTTATAAAATATCTTATATGATTAAAAACCTTTGCCCTTTGGCACCGAATTGAATGTCATTTCACACTTTTTCTCTATATTCTTTTCATTTTGTTAAAATTGAGAATTTCTTTTTTGTGCAATGAAATTTAGCTACTGTTTTCTTCCTCTTTTTAATCTTTTATGTGAGATGCCGTTATTTTTCTGGCCATTTGGCCTCGTGAGAATCTTTATTGATTCTTTGTTTGATAAAGTCATTGACCACTTTAATATTATAGGCTCAACCGTTCCAACAAATATACCTCGAAAGTTAGTTAGTCTATGTCTTGGATTACTTGGAGAACACCTTGAGGATATTGTCGGACATTTGGCTGAAATTTCTGTGATATTACCAGGAAATATCAAGGTAAGAGAAAAAATCTGCCTAAATTCTTGTTTTATGAAAGATGAGCCTTTTTCCATTTTACTTTCTTTCATTATATGAGATAGAATCATGAAAGTTTTCTCTTCTGCAAGTTTTCTGAGCAATATTGTGAGTTATTTTCCAAGACATTCCTTAACGAATCTTCTTTCCTTATTACGTGTTCCTCTTTTCATTTAGTGCTGTTGGGGATTTTTTTGGAGGTTGTTTTCTCTTGTTATTACACATTCTCTAATACACATTGCTTTTCCAGCCCCTTCAATAGAGATGAATCAAAAATTTCTTCTTCATGATATTAGAGAGCAATGTGTGGTATTAGAGAATGTGTCTCTCTGGAATTCTCTCTGATTTCCCATCAATAAGCTTAAGTGGAGATATTCAAAGCATCAACGTTGCCTACTCCTTGATGCAAGAAACCTATTTGCAATGGTCGTAGATTTTGAGGGATTGTGAGAACATTCTTGAAGGGATGAGGGAAGGTTGGCCACTTAGATAGGACTGGTCTGAGTGAGAACGATCTTAGGTTCCAAGTGTGGGATGAGGAATATTGGTGATCACGTTCTAGATATAGAATTCAACGCAGTTAGAGATCAGTAAAGATCTACGTTCCCCCCTATAACGTGAAACATTTGGGAGACACTTTATCAAGGCTGTTAAGTAAAATACTTGATAAAGCAAGATACTTCACTAATTTATGAATTGAAAACCAGAGTATCATTTCGCCATACAAGATTTTCTTTCTATTACCGAATTCTACAACTATTTTGGTTAGTCTTTGCCTTTAAATTTATCATTATCAAGTTCTTACTAAGGATACTGCAGCTGTACAAAATTTTATCCAGAGAGGTAGGATATTTGGGTTTCTAGGAAGATTAAATATGGAATGTAATCAAGTAACACTGCAACTGATAGGGAAGGACTGTTGTCATCTCTTAGAAAGGTTTTTTTCCATGATATGTGTAGTGAAAACTAGGGGATATGTTATGCTTGAGAAAACCATCCGAGTGTTCTACGATCATCACAAAGGAGAGTTTAGACGGTAGAGAAAGTAAGAAATGGAATCCAGAACTGAGAAAGAACAAGGTTGTTAAGTCAAAACAGCCCAGACGAGATGGATTGTAGTGTTCTTAATGTAAAAGACTTCAACAGATGAGGGATAATTTCTTTAAGCTTTATGAGAAAGCTCAAATGTTAGCTAAGAATGGTAGATTAAAAAAGAATTAAGTGAAGTCAATGTCCTTAATGAGGATACTTCTCAAGATGAGCTATTTGGCGATGTGAAATATTTTGTCGCAGTATATTGAAAAGATGAAAGGAGGGTTTACTTAACTCTCTCGTCCAAACTTAATTATCCCTTTGATCAGAGTGATATCTTATTGTGATTCTTTTAAAGCTTCCAAATCTGTCCACCCCAAATAATGGGTCATAGATACTGTTCCGCTATTACCCAATACTTAAATAATTTTGATTAGTACGTATTTGACCCCAGAACTTGGAATTTTTTTCGTACTAATGAATCATTTGTCCCCATGATCGGTCATAAAAAGTTTAAGTTTTCCTTCCCCTCTCATTACATTGTCTTACATGTTTTGAAACTATTAATCAGTCTTCTATCTTCAAAATCATCAAAGACTTGAATTGTACAGCCACCTTTCTCGATACCCATTGTGTATTTCATGCTGAAAATGTATTACCGGGAAAGTAACGAAAATTGTGTATAAGATATGATCATATCTTATAAAAGAAACAGAATCTAATGGGACCAAATTTTTTCCAGTAATCCCAGAGTACGGTGAAAACTTACTTTGGGGAAAGTATGTAGAGGGATGGTTTGGTTAGATAATGAGAATGATTGTTTCAACTAATTTCTAACTTTATTTTTTCAAAAGCAAGAATAGTCCATGAATCCTCATGAATTAACACTCAACATTAAAATAGGTTTGCTGAACACAGAAACAGATGCCTATTAGAAGCCATGTGAGCATTACTTTTTCAATCTAATTTACTAAAAATTCTTCGGGGAATAGTTTTACCTACTAATCGATTTTCTTATCATGCCATTCACCATTAAAATTCTTTGAGTATGCTGTTTTAGGTTTATGATTCAAGTGCCAACATAGGCTTCTTATCTCCATAAATATCTGGTTGTACGGCATATTTTCATGTCCATAAAGAACATCGCATGAAATTAACTGCTCAAGCTTTAAAGTGCATCTTCATTGATTAGTCTAACTATCAAAAAGGATACAGATGCTATCATCCTCGTAGTTGTAGTCTTTGTCACTATGGGTTTCACTTTTTGAAAACAACACTTTCTACTTGGTCTGGTTCAAGGGAATACTCATTAGGAAGATGTGATTTATTGTTTCCTGATGACTTTCCACCCAATCAGACGTACACGACAATTTGCATTAACACTGAGTCTACATTCACACACAACTTCACTAATATTGATGTTAAATAAGTTATGCCTAAGATACTAATACGGAAATAGGTTCTAATTATGGGTCATTTGAATTATCAATTGAACACGGTCAACTTCAATTTGAATCTCCAATAATTACTTCAAAATAATATTATTCACAACTCAATCAACCAGCCAAGAAACCAAAATCTTACTGAAGATGTGTATAGCCTGATCCACCCAATCCATAAAGGACATATTCATGAATCTGAACCAGATTCATGTAAAAATAGCACTTCCTTCCTCAACAAAGGTACTCAGGATCCTATAATTGATTTTTTATCCTTTGACTAACTTATTCCTCGACATGGCGTCTTTGTTACTACTCTAGATTTCATTTACATGCCAAAAGCAATTTAAGAAGCTTTAAAAAAGTAAGGAATGGATTTAAGCAATTAAAGAAGAGATTAATGGACTACCTGAAGATGGGCTTGGGATATTTTTTTCTCAAACTGAAGACAGGAAAATTGTGGGATGTTGATGCATTAACACTCTAAAACTAATGGTTCTATGGAAAGATAGAAATCAAGATTACTTGAAGTAAGGTAATAGTCATTCACATGGCATTGATTATTTTGAATGTGACCGAGTTGAACACAGAGGATTTTATTATTTTAGCTGCGTAGTTTGATTGAAACTTACAACAACTTGAGTGAAGAACGCTTTCCATCAAAAGGATTTAGAATGAGTGTTTATAGATATTTTACTTAGTTTTTTTGGAAGAATCGAAGCAGATAAATTGAGTCGACTATGGAAAGTTTTATGAGTGCAGTAAGCACCTAGGACTATAGAATGGTTTCAGCTCTGACGTCGTAATTAGGTTGTTTCATATATTCAATTATTCCATATTATTTACGAAAACAGCAAGCCCAGCAAGACAGTTATAACTTGAGTTCAGTTGAAATTGTCACATAGACTTCATCTGATCTGTCTGATTGTGCTATTGAAGATTTCGTAGAATCCCAAGATGCATTCGATTTTCTTGTGGAATAATGTTTCTTTTGAGATTGTTATAACTTCCTAATGGACTTTGAAAGACATTGAGTGGTTAGGGCGCTTTTAGTGGGGTTAGGGTTAGTGTGTTAGTAGATAACATGACTTAAACAAAGCCCTTTTTATGCCTTATTTGAAGCCAGGTTGATCCGAGTTGAATTTCTGTGCCCTCTCTGAAGAGGTGCGACCATGTAGAGTTTGTAGATCTGAGGCACGGATGGCTCTAGTTTGTCACTAAAACACACTTTCATTGCCGTCTTTTTTCCAAGTGGGATCCAATCATGAGCTAGGTGGATCAACCTATATAACTGCGGATTATATTCCATTCTCTTCTAATAACAGTTGGATTTGTATGAGGTAGACATTAAATTGATAACAGCTGCTGTGACCTAAAATATAACCGGTTAATTTCAGTGTCATCTTTACTATTCGTTGGCTATTTGTATCTTCTTGGTAGGAGCGACATTTCATTACCGTTTTCCTCTGAAAGGTTAAATCTTCTAATGATCCTGAATAGTCTGCTGCTACTAGCGACCCATGCCCATTTTTCTTGATTGAGTGGATAAGATTGATATCTTTTCTTATTCATGTCTTGTTTCTGTTGATGCTTCCTCATTCTGTGCATTTTGACCGTTTTGTTTCTGAGCTGTTTGACATTCTAGATAGATTTCTTGAAATCAACCATTCGATTTGATGATGCCAGTAAATTTTTAAAGCTGACTGTGCTTTATCTGTTTAGCCCTGGGCTACCAATATGAAGTAAATACGCGTTTCTGAGATTTTCTCAATATCTCCTCTCTTACTCATTCTATTAGTTATGACGTTCTATTACCTGTTTAAGTGTTTTAGCGGTTTAGCTGCCATGCAATTGGCGGTTTTGTAATTGATAAGAAGTTTACATATCAGAGAGCTAATTGTCATATGTACTCTAATTTGAAGAGTTTCTGGAAAGTGTCTTTGATTTTAATTTTGGAGATAGTTTCTAAACTATGTATCTGATGAACTTCTAACTATTATTTACATGCAGAAGACAATTGTCGCTATTGCTAGGAGGAGAAAGTTATTGGATGATGGGATTCTAAATGCTCTGCTTGATGATTCATGGGATACATTGGATATCTCTGGTTCGGACATCACTGATCTTGGTCTTACCAAAGCTGCACAAACTTGCCCCAATTTACTTGCTGTTGACGTAAGGTATGGAAGAATTTTTCGATTGTCCTTATCTATAACACTGAGAAACTTTTATTTGCATTTATCAAAATTTTAGTTCTGATTCTGTTGTAAATGGTGGCTTCATATATCTTACATCTTATAGGGGGATTTGATGTCATTAAACTCAGGAGAAAATAGAGATAATATTTTTTCATGAAAAGATGTTTGTTTGATGTTCAAATACTAAATCGCATTCTGATAAGACAATTTTATGGCTACAAGGTTGAGAATGTGATAAATAGCTGAAAGAATTATGCATGCGTTTCATCTTCTCATAGTGGTCTTTATGTTTCAACCTGTTTGTTACACCTCAGTGGTAGTATTAGAAATGACAACTGGATTCATGATGAGCAGCAGGAATTGAAAGGTTTATCTTTGTGATATGAGGAAAATTAAATGTGAATATCTCTGTTAGTGCTACCTTTCATGTAGGTGTCACAGCGGATGACATGCTGTCTGAGGTACTGGCAGATCTACAAATTTATCATAAGTATCTTAGAAATTTTAGGTGCATATTCTTGTCCGTAAAATTAATAGACAAAAATGATATCATGGGGATGATATAAACAATTATTATCAGACTGTCCTATATTATATCCGATACTATTATTTTATTGAATGTAGTTGTCAGTTGGGACAGGTTTGTCGGACATTAAAATAGAGAGTTTTTTGTATAATGAGAAATTCACCGCTGTGTGGATTAGATAGAAGCTTATTCAATTCGATGGACTTATATCCCTACTCGAAGCATTCATTTTTCAATTTGGCTTGCCTTGGTATTCCTACACTTTAACAGCATCCAGCTGTAGATTGGTCAGAGAAATTTTACTTCCGGCGTTTCTAATCTGCAAGAAATCTTCCTCAATATATTTGGCGGGAATTTTAATTTCGTCTGGGGATTTGATGAGCAAAATGATGTTTGATGAGAAATAAAGACAATCTTTCCAGGAATCTAGCATTAGCTGTCTTATATTCTGTTCTATTTGGAGAGTCTTAAGCCAAAGCTGTTACATGAAGTACCCTCATCAGGCCCTTACAATTATAGATCTTGGAAGTATGTGCACTTCGGAGAAATTTTCAAATATCCACTTTCTTTTTGAGTTTAAAATGCCATTTGATTTTATTTAATCATATATGAAAAAGGCTCCCATGAATTTATGAAATAATTTTTTTTATTTTGAATAGGACACACTCTTTTCTATTTTTTTATTTCATTGTAAATGTCATAGGATGGAGATATCAGTTTAATAGTGATTTCCGTACGCTTATTTTTATATTTAGTATCCTTCACATGACCTTTGTTTTTACCATGCTCTTGAAAATTTCAAGGCCCAGCATGGAACAAAAGTAATGTGTTAGGGCCAAAAATATCAGGCCCATTACCAGGCCCACTGCTAGGATTACTTACGCCCAGAGGGGAAAGGTAAGTCATAAGTAGGCCAAGGAGCCCAGTTAGGAGGACATATAAGGCCCCACTGTGGGGGCACTTTTGAAGGAAAACTAGGAGAGTGGGGCGCTCTCGAATTCGTCCCAAACTATTCTTGGGTTTCCTTCAGAAACCCTCCCCTTTTCCTATTCTTACGTCTTGTTTATCGTAGTGTTTTATTTCCGTTCATCTCTATTCTCTTAGACTGTGCAACCTGGATGTTGTCCTTGATAGGGTCCTTGAATGTGTCAAGTGAGCTGGTTTAATTGTTTTCGGAATGGTCATATTGTCATCTTTTCTGACTTGTTCCCTTATTTTATTTTCACAACAGTCATCTTTGTTTATTTACCTGTAGTACACATTTCATCATATGTGAAAACATTTTTTCTGCAGAAAATGCAAGAAAATTACTATCGTGGGTGTCTCTGCACTTATATCTCAATGCCATTCATTGGAGATCTTGAGATGCGGGTATTCTCTTAAACTTCATTACCATAGTTAGTAAACAATGTTATACAAGGGGAGGCATAATATTTCTTTTTTTTAGATTTCATTTGACTGTAAAAAACTAGTACCTATTTCTCGCTAGCTAATGAGTCTGATTTTACTTCTTTCCACCGAATGGTTTGAATAAACGTACAATCAAATAGAACACCATGGGAAAAAGGCTACAAATAAGTTGATAAATGATATGTAAGTAATGTTGGTCATTGGCATTGGCTGAACTTGATTGGTGGGGGTGGGGAAGTTGGTTTAAGGGGTAATCTGCATGTCATCCAGGTTTAAGGGGGTGAGTGAATTGTCTGACTCTCTAAGTTTGGTTATGAGACAAAATTGTTGAACAAAAATAATCATTTAGGGGAAACCTGAGCGTTTTGTAGATGGTCAATCTAACTCTATTTTATTTTTGAAGCCTCTTTTGGGTACCTCTATTAACTTCTTGCAAGATATAAATTAAATCTTCTTATGCAAAATATTTTGCTCAAAAGTAGGTTTGTAAATGATTGGAAAGCCTACTTGTATATTGATGGAGCACTATGAACCATTTGTCGGCTTGTTTAAGGGGAGCTTCTAGGCATGAAAATTTCAGATTAAAGAAAGCATCAATCATCTCACGTTTAAGATGTTGATGTAGCACTTTGAACTATTGGTGAGGTTCTTCAAATAGAGCTTTCAAAATTGAAACTTTCAAATCTGTGGCACTGATCATCTCATAGCTGATGGGGTTTTTATTGCTTAGAAGCCATAATTCTCTGATGCCATAGCCTTATTTTCGATGGCTAAGTTTTCATATCTTGGTAACATAGTTTCTATCACTTTTCATGTATCATCACTTTGACCATTGATACGAACTTGTTTTCATCTGATTTTTCTTGAAACTTTGGGGCAACAATTATTGTCTTATTTTTCTGGTTTTTGCTTCTATGGTCTTCATTCCTTGTCCTAAAAATGATATAAAATATTCACAAAGATTAGTACCAAGATTAAATTTATTATCCTCAAAAATGATTTTTAGGCTCATCAGAATTAATTTTCTTATGCGTCAAGGGCACATCTTCTTTAGTGAACCCATTCTTAGTTGGACTAATGCTGTATGGAGGAACATGATCACCACATCTCTAGTATCAGCACTCGCCCGGGGAGGTAACGCACTCAAACATACACACACAACGTACAGGGAGGGAGGGGGAGAGAGAGAGAGAGAGAGAGAGAGTACAATTACAAGGTTAATGCATTTTTTCGTATAAAAATACATGTTAGAATAAGCATAAGATTATGATATTTCTTGGGAAATCAGGAGGTTTCTCATACTGAAGTGCAACTGAAAAACAAATGTGGTTATCAAAATTCCACGGGTGAAAAGAAGCAAAAGCCAAATAACCCTTTTTTAGCTTCCTTTTCACCACAGACTATGAATATAAGTGAAATCTCCTGATTGCAGAGGGTGCCCTAGCAGTGAATCTACAGCACGAAGATGTTTGAGTATCTTGGTGCCAAAGTTGAATGCTGTGGAGGAGGAATCTTGGGAGAACTTGGAAAACACAGATCTTGTTGATGGTGCACAGTCATTGCGTTGGCTTGTATGGGTATGCAATTTATTTCAATGTGAGCTCGGTGGAAACCTTTATAATGCAATATATTTCCTACCTGTCTGAAATTTTATGATATGAACTTGGTGTAGCATACCCCCTTACCTTTGAATGAAATGCTGACTATTTCAAAGATAGGATCATAAACCTTTGCGATTCTACTGGGATCCATCCCTCCTTGATCTAAATATTGAAGTTCTCATGAATCAACGAGATAAAGAAGCCTATTGGTTGGTTTCTGGTTTATCCATTAGAACAGCCGGTGGCATATTTTTTAGTGTGTAGGTCACATTTTTTAATTTTGCTGGACCTGGGTTTGCAAGAAGTTCATCCTCTTCCATGCGATAGTTGTTCTTCCTTCCCACCTAGACGGAACGACTCCCCCTTTTCCTGTCCAGCTGGAACTCCCCTACTTCGGGAGCCAGCCCAGCTGCCTTGTCTCTTCTTCAGCTCCAACCCTTTTCCCATAAATCCCGTCGCCACATCCTCCCGCCACCTTCCCCGTACACTTATCTCAACCCATGTTTCACAAGGCGTCGGGTCCTGCCTGGCCCATCGTCAGTCCTAGATATAAGAGATCTGTTTTTCTAAGACGGCAGACATAATATCTTTAGAGCATACATAAAAGTTTAATCTTAACCTGCATAATTTGATACTACACGCATTTCCGGCTCCATAGATTATGTTTTGAATCACCCATTATGCTTATTTCTTGTTGCTAATAATTGATTTTATCAGCCAAATATTGATCCTGAGTCAAAGGCAAGATTGGCAGTCGAATGTCCCCGAATTGCAGTGAATCCTCAACCATCACCGCTTTCCCTCCGTGGGGTGGAAGTTCCTCTTGCTGCCTGTCCAGATTCAATATTAGATGAGTCTTATGTTGCCGGCATCGACCCTGAAACATGGGCCACAACAGTGTCTGATGCTGATCGGGCTGGCATTAACACACTCCCTAGTGCATCCGAGCAAGGACAGGACCTCCCTCAGCTGTCGATGGCAGAAAAATTCAGGCTTGCATTTGTCGAGAGGGACTTGCGATTGGCTCCCAAGAGGGCAAAGAACATGCGCCAACGTCAAAGGCGGGCAGAGAAGGAGTGGGTGACGAGCAGCGCTGATGCTAAGTCTGTTGTCTTGGCCGCGAAGTTCAGGAAGTCACTTTAACGGTAATGATCTGATTCCCTTAATGGAAATGACGACCTGGTTTTGCATCTGATCTTTACTGTGGTTTCTTCTTTTCAGAGTCCTGGGGAAAGAGCATCTCATTACAGATCTATCAGGCGAGGCCACTCTTTGTCGATGTTCTCCTCTCCTCCCCTTCCCTGCAGTCTCTATGTAATAAATTATAGTCAGAGGTATTGGCAGATTTACTGTTGACATATGTGAATGTGGCTGGGCGAGCCCAAGCTTGCTGGCCGCTGCCGTACCCTGGTGGTCCTTTGTAAGGCCTGGGAGCAAGATGAAACAATGAGCTATGGGGGCGGCCAGTACACTATATATAGCATTTGTTCTATTCTTATTCAAGGTGTTCTTAGTGTAAAATAAAATTTAGATGGAGCTAGTCCATTATGGTCAAACATTTCCTGATCATAATTCACCTTCAGAAATAATAATTAGGTCAACTGATTGAAGCATAATAATATAGATAGGATTTTATAATCTTATTTATGATTTTGAACTGGATCAATTTGCGTTGGTCTCTCAAAAATTCTGTAAAGTTTTTTGAAAATGAGCGTAAGCAAAGAAGTTGGTTCCAACCTTAGGAGGACAACATTTGATTGTAAAATAAATTTTCATATCAAACATCATAAGACTGAGTGCTTACATATCCTCAGGGCTGCAAGCTTAGGAAAGTAAGCTTGAACTCGTCTTCTGATGGATCCTTTTCCTGGAAAGGATCGAAAAGACGAGAAGGCTGGCCATGTTCTTCCTGAACAATAGGAGCCTGGAGAGGGCACCATATGTTTGCGGCTTCCTGTCACTCTGGAAACCCGCTCTACCAAAGAGCAGATTCCTTGCTTTGCTTAGACCTCTCCTCTTGAGCCGCAAACCTTTGTGCACTTGGGAAAATCGGATCCACCTCATGAGAAGTTATTAATGAGCGTTCATTTGGGGGAGAAGCTTTCTTCCTCTTTGTCATCAGAACTGTCGGTTCCTTGCTAACTGTCCTTTGAGTAGTAGCTGATTTCCTTGTTTGCGTTGGACTAGTCGGGAATACCAGAGGGTGCTATCAGTCGTCGAACCTTCCCCTTCTGTAGCCATCACTATTGGCGGAAATCATCCATTCTGTGAAGGGAATGCACCCCGGCATTGAAGGGTCCACCTGGTTCTCCTGGCCTCGATGTTCCTCTTCTTTCGTCCCTTAATAGATAGCCACCGATCCTTCTCTCTGAAGTCCTCGTCGAAGGTATCTACAGTGGGAATCCATGAAATAATATTGGAAACAAAGTTTAGCAAACGTTCCCCTTCTGTGGTGTAGTGCAACGACATAAACCACGACGTTTCTGAGTTTCTGATCCTAGATATTGGGAGAAAAAAGATCCTTTATATATTGTTTCTACCTACCCTTACATCCATGTCTCTCCATCTAAGCCAAATCAGAGGCCAAGCGTGCTGACGTCAATATTTTAATGTTGAAAAGTGCTCACGTAAAGGTAAAAATAAAAAATTCATAAATATATGATCACTGCACAAGCGCACGGATCAAGATTTAAACCATTAGATACAGTTTTCTTTCAGATATGTTTTTCAAATATTATATAGAGCAAAGAAACTTCATCAAACACATACTTAATAAAAAGATAATCAAAATATAAAATAACAAGAATTTAGAAAAAATCGAGGAGACAGAAAAAGTGTCCTATTTGTGTAAGCTCATCCATAACTCAAGGATAGAAAAATGTGTTGGCCCACATGTCTTCACTCATTTGTTGACCTAATGAGAACTAAGAGACAGAAACCATGTCAACCCAAATTTGTCAACTCATCCAAAATTGAGAGTGGTGATTCATGATTCACATGTGTTGACTTAGAAAAGCATGTGGGGAATTCATCCAGAATTCAGCAAAGAGAAAGTATGTTAACTCATGTGTTGACCCAACAATAGTTGAATTAAATCTCAAAAGAGAACACAGATTTTCTGAGGTAAATCTAAGATGTCAGACAGTAGAAGGCTGGATGCATGTAAGAGGGTCTTTGATGAGGGTGGTCTATCATGGCATGTGAGAGATTAAAAAAAAGTAAAAAAACTCACTCTAACATTGGTCAACCATTCAAATCTTATCTTTGCGTTTCAATCATAAATCCTCTTCAATTTCTTATACCTAAAGCTTGAACATAGATTTTTGTTGGTTCAGCCCTTGCTTACCTTGACTGTTCAAGAACACCCCATTCTTAGGGTATCTTGAACCAAACATGTAGTCAATAGTCAGTGGTTACTAGTTTCAAGTATTGTAGTATTGCACCAAGAAATTATTTACTCAAAGTCAAAGTCTATGAAGCGAAAGTAACTTTTGAAGTTTGGCCACCTAGAGTTATAAATATGTAACAAGTAGGGAAACTTCTCTAGTTTGGCCACTTAGTGACATGAAATTTGGAAGACAGAAGTGAGGAGCTACTTAGGTTTTGGCCACTTGAGTTATAGAATCTAAAAGGACAATTGGGAATCTTGAGTTTGCTGGAGTTGTGAAATCTAGTGGGCTGTTGAGCCTGCAATTTAGTGTTATCATTAAGGATTTATTGTAACACTTGGATGGAGTACTTGGGAGTGTGAGTATGGATTAAGATAACCAAACTATAAAATTATCATGTGAATGTGTTGATAATTTTTCCTAAAAATAGATTGCATGAAACAAGAAGGATTGGAAAACAAAAATATAACTTCAACCCCTTATTGATATCGCACTATCATTTAAAAGCCAAAAAATTGGATAGAAAACAAGAAATTAATGAGTGATTTGGAAATGACCAATTTACCCTCTCTTAGCTCCTTTAGAAGGCTCCTTAAAAGCCAACAAACATGACATTAGTAATTCTATAAAGGCCAAATTTAGAGATCAAGAGATTTCATTTTAGGTTACCACATTCACAATGTGGATGTTTCTTTGTGGTTTAAAAAAAATTCTCAAATATGATGAAGTTTATTATTTTTAATCTAATAAATAATGCATTCTAGGGATCTAATTCATTTTCAATCAAATAAATGATGCTGGTTTATTTTTATAGAGCCTAAAAATATTCTTAGCTCAAGTGTTTTGATGTTGGCAAATAATAATAAGAGAATAAAATTTGATCATAAATATGTTATTATTGTACTATTTGCTAGTTGAGGATCTAATTTGTTCCATCTAGTCCAATCTCTGTTTGATTATATTTTTTAGGCATAAATTACTAAAAAGGTGGATCAACGAACAGAATATCTTACATAGGAACAAAGACTAGGTATCTCCCTCTCTAGACCAGGTATCTTACAACATAATAAGAGCATCTAAGATAATGTTCAGAAAATCATGACACATCAAATAATGAAAATAATAAAATAATATTTATTCACATGTATGGAAAATGATTTAGTCAAATAGATGTTAATGTGTCATTCTTGTATGTAAATCAAGGTAAAATGATAATAAATATCTGGTTAACGAATTTCAAATGTAATAAAACCAAATGAAAATGTTTAAACAAGGTTCTAGAAATAATTTTATGAATTTCTTCTCAAATCTAAACATTATTTTTTACCATTTTCTATTTGATCTTCTAATTTATGTTCCAACATGATTGTTTGTAGTGGATAATTTGAGAAGCTTTTTTTATTAGTTAGTAATATGTTTAAAAGTGATGATTCATTGTAGAATAAAGATGACATCTTTTTCCATGATTTTTGTGAAATTTAAGATAGAACAAAGGATAACACTAGTTATAGAAAGCGATGTCATCTAATATCTGTTTTATGAGCATGCTAGTGCACAAGTACATGCATGTAAACTATCTTAATGTTAAAACAAATTACGCCACCCCAGTTTTTTGTTTTTTGACAATGGTAAAAATTAAAAATAATGATTAGGAAACAAAGGAGGTAAGAGGAGGAGGTGGATGATGGATGTCATTCCTCTCTTGTTCTTCTCTTTCCTCTCTCATTGTCTCTCTTAGTTGAGGTGTTCTTTGGGCGACATACAGAGGAAGTCAATGCCGTTGATTCCCTTTCTAAAATAATTTCCATCCTCTGTGTGAACTTTTCACCATTTTTTGAATTATTTTGTCTAAGTGACACGTGGATGAGGAGGTTAAAACTCAAAAGTATTTAGTATCAACTAGATGAAGCACAAGTGCTTTAACCATCAACTAAATGTTTAACATTAAAATGTGTCTTTTTAGATCATGGATTCCTTTCATTTTTGGAACACAAATGAAAGAAATAGTACAAAAGGTCCATGTTCAGCCAACTATTCTCAAACAAAGAGAGAGAGAGAGAGAGCTGTTTAAAACATGGTGATATTAAACTTTCTAAACACTTCAACAAAGAAGTTGGAGAAGAATGAAAATATCACTTTGAAACCATGAGCATCGAAAACCACCATCCTTGAATTTAAAAAATAAGAAATATTTAGAGAATAAAAATCTTATTTGTAATAGAAAAATATGACAATATTATTCAACTTCAAATCTTTTAAATAATCAGATCTGATTATACCTCTGGAAAAAAGAGAAGCTATTGTGAAAAAAGTAATTTTAGACCTCTAGAATAATGTTTCATGTTGTAAGTCTTTGCTAAATTACTATATTACTAACTTAGTTTTCATGTTGTTTGACATACAATAATTTCAATTTTAATGAGTGGTGTGAAAGAAGTAATATAGTAATTTACTGATCATAATCTAGGAGATTTGCATTATTTCCTAATAGTATGCAAAATCTCTTCTTTAACATCATGTGACTTATTGTGAGTTCTCTATGAAGACTAGGAAAAACACAAGAAAGTGTTATGATCTCACTCTCTTCCTTTCATCAATGCTCACTACCCCTCAACCTCCACCTCTGAAGGAAATTACAATGCTAATATGAGCAGAGGTGATGAGGCTATCTATTCCTATAGTTAGCTCCAAAACTTCCTAAAACATTATTAATTAAATTTTTAATAAAAGTTAATTAAATTTAAGTATAAAATGACACCTCTACTCTAACTCCAGTAATAGGAATAGAAATTGTCCTTATTTATAGTATTCTAATTTTTGTTACTTCAAAAACAATGGGATTTCAAATTCCAATAAAAATAAAATAAAAAATAATATAAATAAATTGATTTCTGAATGATTCATGGAACAAAAAAAGAGTAATCTGCTTCCTTATGAGTGATGGAATATACGACAATTTCCTGGAAAAAATCATCGTATATTCCTTCATTTCCTTATGAGTGATGTTCAATCAATCAGTGGACCCTCATGTCGATCTGAATGAATCAATCTTTCCACGGAAGTCTATTTTTTCCTACTAGGCAAGAGAAGAGGATAAAAAGTTAAAAATTCTGTCTTGGTAAGACACATTGGTCTTGAAATAATTCACTATATTGGTTTTTTTAAGGCATTTATCCTAGACTTTACTTCTGACTTCACTTCTTTGTTTTTTTAGGTAAATCTGATTTCTTGTTCCTAAACAAAGAAGTGAAGTCAGAAGTAAAGTCTAGGATAAATGCCTTAAAAAAACCAATATAGTGAATTATTTCAAGACTAATGTGTCTTACCGAGACAGAATTTTTAACTTGTTATCCTCTTCTCTTGCCTAACAGGAAAAAATAGACTTCTATGGAAAGATTGATTCATTCGAATTGACATGAGGGTCCACTAATTGATTGAACATCACTCATAAGGAAACTAATGCGCTTGGACTTTTACTTATTCCAACAGCAACAAAAAACATTCATCCTTTTCCTACTATTTTACTACTATGTATAGCTATGATTTTTTTGACCAATCTGGCTTTTCAACATTTATAATTTTGAAGCTTCATGGTGAAGATCTAGTTGTGTCCTTGATTGCTTCAAGTTTCTCAGTTAATGATACTGATTCTTTCATTGATTCTCCATAGTTCTTGTTGAAGGGAATATTCCCAAACATGCTTAGTATTTTTATTTATTTATATTGATTTTAAATTCCTATTTAATGATCTGAAACTCATCATTCATAGAAATGACACACCTATTTGATAGTTTTGTTGTTTTTTGATGTGACAGTGGCTGTTTCCTTCTCTCTCCTTGTGTTAACATATGGATTAAGGCATTGTGAAAATGTGCAGAAACATTCTAAAACAATGCTCAGTGAATTTTATAAATAATTTTATAGCATAACTACCCATCTTAGTCATGTTCATTCTGATGATCATGTTGAGATAAAACACCAAGAATAAGATGATAATTTTAGAACATAACTAGCAATCTTAGTCATTATCATCTTTCTGTTGGTGTTTTACCCTAACAACATTCATCATGATCATCAGAATGTTTACTATATAATTATAAATTTTATCATATTCTTTAATATGATATGATCATTGTCAAAGCACAAAGTACAACTAAAGGGTATAGTGACAGCTAAAATCAAAAGCTAGTTAGTGCTTTTATTTATCACATGGGGGGGCAAACACATGACTTTGTCATATAAAAAGATTTGCTAGTCCCATGAATTTTAGTTGTGATTTTCTATGAGATAATAGTTGAAAATAAGGACATAAACTATTAGTAGACATGAATCAAGAAAGAACAAACTGGTATAGATATTGTGTACCAACTTACTTTGTTGACTTAAATCATAATTAGTCAATTCTAGAGAATTTTTGTCAACCAAAGGACATGTGACCCAAATTCAATCTAAGTTAACCAAAGTACATTAATGTAGTCTAGAGCTAGGGGCCCAATAACTTTCAAATAAAGTTGGAAAGAAGAGAATGCTAAAAGATGGCTCAAAAGCTAAATGGGTCAACTAAATCACAAAAAGTTACTTTATGAAAGCTACTTTATATAAAGTTAATTTCTATATCTATTATTTTAGAATGTAGTTTAAATAATGTTGAGTATGGGTTCACATCATTTCAAAATTTGTCAAAATTTATTCAAAGATCTATTCAAAATTCATTTTATTCAATGTCCCACCTCTTTTATAGACTTATATTATAACTTGAAAGAGTCAATTGAAATATTATGAGTTTTTCTCTCTTATGAAATTACTCTCTTACTTGTGAAATAAGGTGCCCTCTTATAGATTCAATAGTCCTCTTTTGATCTTGTGGATTAAAAGTTACCTCCATATGGATTCAACAGTTGAAAACTTCAATTTTACAAATTCAAAGCCTAATTTATTTTTCAAAACTAGTGCTTTGTGAATTCAAACTCAGATCTTACTATGGCCCCCATCAATACTACATATATTGAACTATAAAAGTTCATCAATAGGAAAATTAAACTACAAAAAAATCTGAAAATAATTTAAAGCATTGATTCATCCCTCCCCCCTCTTTTTAGTATTTTATCTATAGCCCTCCTATGGGATGAACAAATGTGACTAAGTCATACAAAATAGCATAAAAACTAAGTGCTTGAAAAACAATTTAAAATCATTTACAAATACATCAAACAATTCAACATGTATGCATAGAGAGAAGATTAGATAAACCAAAACTTATAGCACTCAAGTAAATTTAATCATTTTCATGAATCCTTTGACTCTTAACTAACCAAAAAGAATTATAAGAGAATCTCTTTTTGCAATTGCGTTTTTCAACTAGGGATGGGATCTTTCCTCAAGATCTGAGATTCAGTATTCATGTAACACCGTCAAATCAGGGAGATAAACAAGAGCCACAAGAGCGGAATATTGCTGCAAGGACTAGAAATTATTATGATACTTGTAGCCATGTAACAGAGCTTATACAAGATGGCTACCAAGATATCTTAAAGAATTAGAGGCAGCTCTAGAACAGACCAACTCCCTCGGTCCCCCGTGGTTAATATCTCCTATTGGGAACCCTCTCTGGTAAAATGGAGAACAGCCCTCTCAAGGAGCACTCTACATCTCTCCCCTAAAGAATATAAGCATGGTATAGAGCAGAACAAGCTCAGAATGGTAGAGATTCATTCTGCAGATAGGGTGGGTCCACCTTGGCTGATTAGAAGACTGCATTCCACAGAGCACTCTCACCCTCCCCACAGCGTTGATGCACCTCTTTGATCCTATCTGCAGACTTGCATATGCCACTACAGCTCCAGTCAAATGAGGCAATACAGATGTTGCCTGCCTGGGCCTTCCACTCACAGTCTGCAGAAGAATGAACGAATGCCAGTTTTATCCTTCATTAATCATAGCAATGGTTAAAGAAATAACAAGGACTAAATATGAAACCTTGCTATTTTATACATAACTATGCTTAAAATAAAAGGAGCAAAAAAATGAATAAATAAAACAAAGATGACAAGGAACATGAAAATAAATCGGCTGTCCAACATAAAATCAATTAAATCCTTGGCATGTGGCAAAACAGACAAGAGGACCGAAGGGCCAAGACAGAACCTGGAGCGTTCATATCATATTAAACCATTGATTCTTATCACTCAAAATCCATGCGTATGACTGAAACAGACCCTTCATTTTCATCGCAGGTTTACCCTGTGATTAAACTATCCTGACATAAGCCTACCTGGTGGGGTGCCACAACAAAGTCTCCGATCATCGATATGCTGCACATCCAATCCGATGAACCAGGACCCAAGGGAAACATCCTCGTTTGCATACTTGTGGAGAACATGCCTGCCATGGTTTTGAAGAAATAGATCAATATCTACTACAGTCAATGTACAACCAGTGACAATCAATGGTTAATGGACAAGCTTCCAATGGTACTCAAGGCTTAACTGGTTTATGGATATATAAGTAGCCAGGTCCCTCGAAATAGCATATAGTTGACCAGTAGCATGTCGGAAGTATTTATTTCCTTCCTCACCAAACTTCCAGTGTTCAGGTTCGTGATACCTCACACCCCTGGTTCAATAAAATGAGCACGATAAATTACAATTTTCTCACTCATTTAAAGCTAGTTGTGTTCATCTGAAACTCACTTCTGAGCAAGGACAGGTCCAGATTTCATACAACCAATGTACACACGGGGCCTTGACCGATATCTGGCTAATGTAGTTCCCAGTGTCGCTGCAAGATTACTTAGAAATCAGTAAAAAATGCCTGCAGTAAATTGCCTGTCTTGAATGAGAGCAGGAAAACGTAATTTCTGATGAAAAATACTCTTCCCTTCTATTTTTACGCGAATAGGAGCCAGGGTAATACAAAATCAGATATAGACGTAAGCCCAGTACAAATAAGCTCCGAAAACGCACTAAGATGCTACCATCAATAATAGCTTGATCGACAATATTACATAAACAGAAGTAATTACTAATTCATTTATACTGTAACAAGAGAAACGAATCCTCAGCCTAGTTGGTAGATATTTCACATAACTAGTTTTATTTCATTTAAATCAGGTGCTGAGGAATTGAACGTAAATTTACAAATTGTCACATATATCGCTCCATATCTTTAAATATACCAATAATCAAATAGCTTTATGCTCCTTCCTCAGAACGCTGTTAACAAAAAGAGTGGAACACTATTTTTCTATCCATTAGATGCATTTATATTGCCTATAGTTAATTGAATCAATCGAATTTTTGAAGTATGAATCAAAAAATGTGCAATACATTTATTCAGCTGATCAATTTTTGGGTCGTTTAACCCAGAGAGAGCTCAGAAAATGGATCGGTTTCCCATGAGTAGGGATGAGCTTATCAGATAGCACTGAGCTTACCAATATTTACATGAACATCATCATCAACTTTGATGTAGAAGTCAGCATCCCACATTGAAACAGCAGTTGCAAAGTAAATTTTAGTCTTGGCAGATAATTCAAGGTATCCTTCGACATGCTCCTGGTAGTAATGCAACAAGAAATCAGAAGCAGAAATATAATTTTTGCAGAACAACAGCACATACTGTAGACTGACCTTACACTATGATTCAATAAAAACATCCAAACTGCATTAAGATCCTGGAATGTCTAATGCATAATGTACTAACATGAAATCAAGAAGACACAAAGAAAATGGAACCAGGAGGAATATCTAAGAAATATTACAAGCCTCATGAAGTCTCCATGTTTTCTATCTTCAGCTTCAATGGCCTTATCCAGAATACCACCTGCTGTAGCACTGGTAGAACCCAAACAAAAAGATTAACCCTCTTATTTGCCATTAATGAGATGATAAATACAAAATTACAAATTGCCGCCTAAACAATTCAATAAATAATCAATGAGTATTTAGAGAGTGAATTTCTATACCAACTGCAAGATCATATTAGAACAAGAGCTTTTCCACTGTTCTTTATGTACGCCACCAGTTTTAAACTTGTCTTTGCACCACATCATTTTCATTCAAGATTTTGGGGCTAGATTTCCATATGTTGCAAATACCTCCCTTTAATATTTATAGGAACAAATGAAAGAAATGATCCATGACAGAGATGCCAATATTAGGTATCACTAATATTTCCCTATTGAGGATTGATTCTGTTAATACATTCCTTGTGCTGTATAAAAAGGGGCCAGGGCCGAGTTTTCTGTCAAATCCGAGTCTGGATCAAAAAAGGAACCAGAGAAAACAATCTGATGGGCCTGAAGTCGTTGTTGACACAGACTCACTATCACTGAGCATCTGAATCAATGTTTCTCATGTGAAAATATCATCTGGAGATCACATCATGAGAATCCACTCTTCCAGCTGTAGCCCTAAAACGGTATTAGAGAATGATCAAAAGGGTATCAAGTCAACTTGTGTGACTACACACAGATGGAGCACTATCCTTTAATCCTATTCAGTTTCTATTCTTGAGTTTGACAAGCATGGAACTCCTTCAATTCTTGGAGGTTAGAATCAAGTAAAAAAAGGGAGAGGAGTATCTTACGTAAAGAGAACATGTACTGTAAGCATTTCTTGCCAGTCATCCAATCATCGAACTTATAGAGCTCCCCCCAAGTACGAAAATTATCATGCCACAGTCCCCAGAAACCCAGTAGGAATCTTTTTCAGGCTCTTCAAAGGAACGAGATTAACCTAATGAGCTATTGTTTAGTGGGAGTCCACTTATGACAAGAAAATGAACAGATGGTTTTCTCAAACATTTAGCAGAAATTGATTCATGAATTATTTAAATATCATCCCTTGTGGCTGGTAAGGCCGTAAAGATCTTCAAGGATTTGATGTGAAAAGTTATCGTCCATGGTTAGATAAATCCTGAATTCAGTTTCAGTTTAAATATCAAAACTATAAGACATCCGACAGTATGTAAGGCTGCATTAATAACAAATGTCATCATAAATTTCTCGGTTTGAAAATATGTCCATGGTCATCTGAAATAAAATGTTGCAGTTCTGCCATGAGTGCAGATTCAGCAAATTGAGATGATGCCCAACATTTCATGGGTTAGACATGTGCATTTTACGTTATTTATTTAGTCAACAAATAAAACTAGAAAAAACGATATATAAATTGTTGGGGGGCTGTCTACTGAGTCCAAGAGTTGAAGCACAAGAGAGAAAGGCATCATCACCTGTGACCAATAACGAAGCGAATAATGATGCCTTTCTCTTCCTCAAGTTTCTTCCTTTTTTCACCTGTCTCATCGATTTTAAAATCTCAGTTTTCGAATCAAAGGCATCATTCTGATAAGTTATAATTTAGAGAAAGGATAAAAATAATTAACCTTGAGGCATCCAGGTCATTCGAACTGAATCTCTTCTTTTACGACTGCTGAAGGCTGTGTTAATTCCAATAACCATAAGATATTTCCTCCTCTCATCTATTTCAGCAACTTTTTGATCTCCTGACACTGGAGAACCACTCAGTATAGATTCCTGTGCAGCTCTAGCAGCGGCTAATTCCATTTCTAAATTTGAAATCGTTTTATCCAACGTCCTGCATTTGCAGCCTTTTGTGAGGTTGGAAACAAACTATATAGTGAGAAATGAAATGGAGCAAGGATTTGGCTAACTGACTGTATAGCATCATGGGTCTTGGATACTTCCCCTAGGATGTCCTTTGGATCTCTCTTTCCTTCTGTCTGATGATGAGAAGAACAATATAAAATCAATAAACAAGACCAGAACATTGCCACATAAAGACAACTATGTGCGGTCAAATCTTTAAACTTTGTGAGTGGTACTGACATTGAAACCCTTACCGATTTTGAATCACATCCTCCTAAGGCTCGCTGCATCTTATCCTCTTGTACGCTGCCAGGCATGGTAACCTCTCTGGCTTCAGGTACCGCCCATATTCTGTCATCAACATTCAATGATTATTCCACGGTCAAGGATTCGCATAAGATACAATGATTATAAATATCGAACGTTATTGTAATCAGAAAAGGGTGAAACATATGCATCAATTAGTTGAGAAAAAATAATGAAATATATTATTATTTTATGGTTAATAAGGACGAACATCATCTTCTGTGCGTTGGGAACTCTTTGCAAAGTTGGAAACACTTGAGAGCACTGAGCACAAAATACCAAAACTGATACCGAAATCTACTGAGTTTCAGACATGCACACCATAATTGACGAAAAATGATTGCAAGCCACCCTAATGGTTCCATATAATGAGAAGCTGTCATTCAGAGAAAAATACCAATTTTTGTTTCTTTAATCCTCTGATATACCGACAATGCATGCTGCAACAGTCATCCATTCGTTACAATCCATTGCCAGAACCCGTTTTTCAGGTTCAATAACATTAGCCACATGTATCAAACACATAAAGAAAGAAAAGAAAACATTCAAGAAAACAAATTACACCGGAGAAACCTCTATGTTATATTATATAAACAGAATGAACCACAGATGGAGAGAGAGAAAAAAAGGAAAAAAGTCATTTTCATCGACATTTTAAAGGCAGAAGCAGATGAGGGGGTCAGATAAATCTGATCTGCAAAGATAGAAGTCGACATTTCAGTGGCTGACCTTTATCATCACACATATTCAAGGGGAAAAATACTTCAACCCGAACAATATATCGAAATTGTAGAGAAATCCAGATCTAAGTCATCCGTGAGAGATTCTTATTCACCCGGGGGGCAGGAAAAACAAAGGTGCGGAGAAGAGGAGATGGAATTTGAGAAACTAAAGGTTCATGTTCCTAGGTGATCAGCAACATCTGCGTCGTCATAAAATCTCTCTCTGTCTCTGTTTCTCTCTCGCGCTCTATCTCACTCACACACACGCACACACACAAACTTTCTCCCTTTCGAAAGCTACAAATTATCGTCAAACGAGCAATCCCCAGATGCAAAAGGCACCCCGACATGAAGACCCAGAAGAAGGTATGGGGGAGAAAATGGTGTAGAAGGCGAAGCTACCTGTTCGTGAAGAGAAGACCAGAGCAAAAGCTGCTGAGGCAGAGGAATAACGTCCATTTCCTCGACACTGTGCTCCTTGGAGAAGAATCTCCTCCCCCTCCCCCAGCTCTGCCCTTCCAGTTCATCGTTACTCTTCTGTCCAGAACAAGTGCAGAATTTTTCAAGCCAACACTACTACGGCTATAATCGGATGCTATTCTTCCCTTCCCTCCTCTTTCCCAACCCTCCTCCCATTCAACGAACCGCACTGGGGGATAATCAGTCCACCCGAGGGCGCTGAACCAGAGTTCAGGAGGAAACCAAGGGGGAGACAGGCAGATCTGAAGGAGGGCAGTTGACCCCAAGCTCTCCTTGGCAAGGAGGCTGAGAGGGGCGACTTCTCTCCGCGCTAAGGCGTGAAACAGGATTGAAAGAAGATGGACGGGAATAGGAGACGGGTCAAGCGAGAAGCTGAAGCAGGGAAGGAAAGGAAGGAGGGCGGGGGATCCCGTGTGCCTCTTCCCTGTGGAAGATGGCACCGGGTAGTGAGGGAAAAAGCATGTTTTGGAAGGGCCAAGGTTTCAACTAAAGTCAGTCCATCTTATATTTATCCTTCTTCCTTTCCCCACGTCCGATAAAACCACCGTGCTTTAAGTTTTCATGTTTGACCTGCCATTGGCACCATCGCATTCGTTGATTTTGAAAGTTCTTACTCTTGTCTGGTGTTTGAACAGGCCTGGGATTGATGATCTCGTACTTGACGCAGAGGTCAACGAGAGTATTTTCTGGTATCAAGGGGGGACAGCCACTGCCCAATGGCCGCGAGATGAGAGAGGGGCAAGAGACGCTGGGGAGGTCCAGTTTCAAAATGATGATCCATTAAGAATGTAAAGCGGGTAAGCAAATCTGACAATCTGTGATCGACCCCTCCCCCTCCCCCTCTCCTTCTGTTCTGCCCATGTTCCTGTCCTTGTCCCATTTATCATGTCACTTAAAATGCCGGGTTTTGACTATTCAGCAGCAGAAATTAAATAACAGACATGACGTCACGTATCTACTCTCTGGGGTTACTCCGGCCAACAACCCTCCGAATCACGCGGTGCGATTGGCGCTTCGCCTAACGTCATCCCCTCGTCTGTCCACCGCCTCGCGTTCAAACCCTCCTCGTGAAGAGCTTGGCAACTGCCTGAACCAGCAGGTAAGGGCCAAATCTGTGGGGACTCAAGTTGATCGGTGATTTGCTGTTTGTCTGCCATCAAATTCTCCATAGATGCCTTACACGCCGTTCTCCGCCCGCCCGGCGCCTTCTAGCAGAGTTGTAGATCTCGAGGACCAGCCTCCGCCTGCTTTTTAAAAACACGCATCTAATATTGCCACCTCTAAAGAGTTAACTTCATCATCCGGCACGTCTCGCCCGTCCAGAATTAACAATTTTCTACGTCTTTCTTCCGGACGGACATTAAGCAGAACAGGTGGTCATTGCTAGCATTTCGCTCCCGGACAGGTCAGAGATGCACCTTTTCTTTTAAGTTTCTAACATCTATAGCATTCTGAATAATATACTAATCGAGGAAAGTTGGAATGCCGTGAAATCAACGCAAGAGCTTACATTCATTACAGAGCGGCTTCCCTCTTTCGGCCTTTCGGTCTGCTTCGGCTGCGATTCCTCTGCCTCGTAATCCCTTCCTTGGACGACACTGCAGCTTCCGTTCAGCAAATGCATCTGGCGGAGCGATCACCTCTCGCGTACTTTTCAGTCCTACGTGGCACTCAGAAGCGCGATAGCGCCATGCGATCAGGTCGTTGTTCACCTCCCCTCCCCCCCCCCTTATTGGTTTCTCTCTGTTTTCTTCGCACCCCGCTGCTTGCTTCTCTTAATTTAAAGCTAGAAAGCGAACCGCACCAAAAGCCACATGCGACTCGCCGGCCATGATTTGACAGGGACCGCCCTGCGGTTACCTGATCGCCTCTTTTTTTTTTTTTTTTTCTTTCTTTCGTCACGATGCCACCCATTCCAGGTCACTGGAAGACTCTGAGGCTGCTGGGCTGGCCCACCTGTGGAAAAGTGAGGCAAGGTTAATGGTTTGTTCAAATAATAAACTATACCCTTTTATGGATTTGTCTTATTTACCCAGATCCTTGGTCAACTTACCATATAATAATGGAAGCAGCTGCGTCGTGTTGTAGCCGGGGGGGCATTTTGGCCGACCCTCTTATCTCACACGGGTTGACCCATAAACCCAGGCATAGACCCAGCCCCATTTAAGTCAACTGTGCTGCTCTTGCTTCTGTTCATAGAATTACGCGTCGAATATATGGACGAGTTTTGCTATAAGGATCAGGGTGGTGATCGTGCACAAATCCGACTGCAAATGCGAGGAGAAAGATCGTAATGTTACAAGATTCCCTGGTCGAGATCGTAAGGAATGGAGAGTGTTCATTTTCACAGGAATTGAGGGAGTGAGGATCGATGGGGTAGAGATGGCGAGAGACAAGACGCAGTAGGGAGAACAGCTTAGAAGGAAAAACCAAGAAGAAGTTCGTCGCTGCTCAACCTTCGTGATGGCGCAGAAATAACCGCCCGTCGTTGCCCCGGCCCGTCGGGAAGCATGGAACTGGTTCTTGTTCCGAGATCGGGGGTTCTTATCAGGTAGGATACTGCAGCTAACGAGATCACAGACGTCTTCTGTGCTATCATCCACCGCATGACTGGCTATCCTCCGCAGAGCTGGACAATTGGAGACGGAGAAGAGAAGGTCAGGGTGCGGGAGACGCTCTGCTCTGGAAATAGATTGTTGCGAATGAACCTCGTAGATCTGACTGTTCCGAACTCGGTTCAGCCGTGTATCGACGGGCGCATGGAGATGCGCAACCGTGGCAAAATAGGTCTCGAGGAGTGATGTTCGCATCATCCTCAACGTGCTGCCTTCAGAAGGGCGCTTCATTGGCCTCCGTTCCTTTCTCCTTCTCCTCCTCTGCTGCTAGGTTTTCATGCCCCTGCACACGGCGATGCATGTCCAAGATAAGCCGCTACCACATCTCCAGGGCCAATGGCTTGAAGGATGGTCGGGATGCCAACCGACTCCTCTTCAATTCAGTGTTGTCGTCGGCAGCGGCAGCATCTTCATCCTCTCTACCCCTTGTGTGCGCTGTCCACTGCCGCATCTTGAAGTCTGGCTCTCTGGATGTTGTGTTCGCCACGGCGATGGTCGACGCGTTCGGAAGATGCTCCGAGCTTAGAACTGCGCGCAAGCTGTTTGACGAAATGACACATAGAGACATTCCTGCCTGGAATGCAATGCTGTCTGGGTATAATCGTAATGGAGATCTGCAGCAGGCGTTGGCTCTGGTCCGGTTGATGTTCCTGTCAGCCGTGCGCCCGAATTCGGTAACGTGCTCCATCCTTCTTCAGCTGTGCTCGAACCATGGCGATAAGTCCCTGGGAAGGTGCGTCCACGGCTACTTATGGCGGCATCCCGGTATTGGAGATAATTTCTTGTATAATTCTCTTCTAGTGTACTACCATAATCTTGGTCATGTTCACATTGCGGAGAGTCTATTCGAGGAGATGGAAAGAAGAAATATCGTGACCTGGAATGCAATGATGGCCGGATATATAATGAATAATCGCCCCAAGCAAGCTTTGGAAATGTTTCACCACCTGAGACAAGAAGGACTGCGACTGGGTCTGGTTACCCTTGAGACAGCACTACACGCGTGTGCTCGTGTGGGAGAGGAGGCCATGGTTGACGGACAGTTGATCCATACTCTTTTCGTTAGGATGGGGATTCCCGCGGATGTCTACACTGAGAACTCACTCCTTCTCATGTACTGTCAATGTGGTTCACTGCACCTTGCGCAGCATCTCTTTAATATGATGGCGTCGAGAAATATTGTCTCTTGGAACATCCTCATGAATGGATATGTCCGGAAGCCGCTTCCCGAGAGAGCTGTGACTCTATTCAGATCTGCCCTTTCCATCCTGCCCAGGTTAAGCTCGGATTTGATGGTTGGTGCACTGCGAGCCGTCAAACAATTGCACCCATGCCCTGAATTTGTTATGTGTTACCATGGTCTGGTCGTAGTCTTGGGTTTTACTTCAGATGAGTTTGTCGCTAGTTCCCTTATCTCTGCTTATGGTGAGCACATGGACGTTGCTAATGCTAGAAGATGTTTTGATTATGTTTTTCCCGGAAATGGTACTACCGTGCTATGGAATACGCTGCTCTCGGTTTACTTGCACAGTGGATATCTGTTGGAGGCAGTGGAGATACTTCCTTTAATGCGAAATGAGTGTGCTATGGCAGATGCTGTCACCCTCGTCATTGCACTCTCTATTTGTGCCCAGCTGCAGGACATAAAGCTCGGCAAAGCTGTCCACGGATATGCAGTTCGAAACAATTTTGAAGGGAATAGTTTCGTCATTTCATCGTTGTTGGAGTTCTACAGTCGGTGTCTGTTAATGAGCAAGGCATGGTGGCTGTTTCTGAGGATACCTTTGAGGACTACAACGGCTTGGAACACGATGATCTTTGGATGTTCCCAGAATGGATCCCCAAGGGCGTCTTTGTTACTGTTCCATATGATGCAGCAGCTAGAGGATGTTAAAGTTGATGCAACCACTGTAGTGGGAGTTGTTGAGGCCATTGGACAGAGAGGATATGAGAGAGAAGGTGACTACATCCACAGATATGCGATTGAAAAGGGTTTTTTAAGTAATGAGTTTGTGGCTAATTCCCTGATATCGATGTATTGGCAATTCGGCGATCTTGGCAAGGCAAATGAGGTGTTCAATGGTGGGAGTGGACACAGCAGGGCAACATGGAATGCAATGATCGCCAAGTACTCAGATCATGGTTTTTCAGAAACAGCAGTATCTGTTTTTCATTTGATGAAAGTCAACAACATGCGCCCTGATGAGATTAACCTACTCTCTGTTCTCCTTGCATGTGCTAAGTTGGCTTCCTTGCGCTGTGCCATGTGGGTCCATACAAACATTATGAAGGTTGGCTGTGATTGCGATGTCTTTGTCTCGACGTCATTGTCAGACACATATGCAAAATGTGGGGAGTTGCCTGTGGCCAGGCTAATTTTTGATGATATGAAACTTAGAACGACAGCTTCATGGAATTCCATGATTCGGGCCTATGGAATGCATGGAGATGTGGAGGAGGCGGGGAAGCTTTTTCACAAAATGTTGTCTTGTGGTATAGAACCTGATTTCATTACTTTTCTCGTTCTAATCTCTTCTTGTGACCATGCGGGAGAGGTAGATAAAGGCCTGGGTTATCACAACCTCATGACCAATGTTTACTCTTTGTCCCCAAAAATGGAGCACTACTCATGCATCGTGGACCTCCTTGGACGCAAAGGAATGATCAATGAGGCTTTTGAGTTTCTTCAGAAGATTCCGCTTATCCCTGGTACGTGTGCTTGGGGATCCCTTCTAATGGCTTGTCGTGCGGAGGGGAAGATAGACATTGCGCTGGCGGCTGCTAAAAGATTGTTCAAGCTGGATCCCTTCAGCTTTGGCTATCATACATTACTGTGCAGCATTTTATCAGAGTCAGGTAGGAGGGTGGATGCCTTTGAAATTAAAAATAAGCTCAGCCTTATACCTCAGAAGAATAGGAATATGCAAGGCTTGAGCATAGTTGAGGTATGAAAAGAACTGGCCCGAATTTGCCCCAAGCCACCCGGACATTAAGGCAGAATGGCTTCCTTCTTCTGAAAAGGGCCAAGGTAGTCTGTACTTACGCCTTTTATATGTAGCTGTATATATGATCACCTCTGCTTCTGCTAAGGCTCCTGATATCAACCAACACGATGGTTTGATATAGTATTAGTTTAAGCTTTTATGTCTGGATATGCCTCCGAAATGTCTAGTGGACAAGTCAAAAACGATCGTCATAATGAGTGAGGAGGCATGAACATAAGATTAACACGTCTTGTGCTATACTGCAGATCAATAGATTTAGTAGTTATTTCTTAGACAGTCTGCCCCTTTTGCTTAGAAAGTACAGACCAGCCTAGGCTCAATCTCAAATATGTCAGCCTCTGAATCTGAAACAAAATCATAGCCTGTATTACACCTCATTTAGCCATTGCCCAAAGTCCTGCCTGCAACCCCGCCGATGCCCAAAGCCCTGCCTGCAATTGCCCTAAGACATTGAGTTCTGCCCGAGTCATAGAGTGCCCAGATTAAAGGTTGATAACCGAGCAGAGAAAAAGATCAGACAGAGGCAGGAACGCTCTCTTGAAAGTCACAAATAATAGCAATATCCTCAAGGCTCGATATCAGTTCAATACACCAAAGAGCATTCTGCTCCATGGCTTTTCATTCAACATGAACCAATCTTGGTCACAGACACCAGTAAAATTCACAAAACAGCAGACAGTAAGACATTTATTCAAAAAAAAAAAAAAAAAAAAAAAAGACATTTATTCAGAAACGTATAGACATCAAATGGTGACCTAGCGTCACAAGAATACCACCCCATCCGTCAATGGAAGGTAACAACGACACAGGAGATATCATCCTTGCTCTTTCTTGCAAGAGCCTGCTCAATTAGATGCTTCGCTGCTGCTTGCGGATCCTTCATAGATCTGATCGAATCGGTTGCCTCTTGATTTGTCATGACCTGAAATATAAAATAAAGATAGCCCACTCATCATCTTAGCAAAAATGGCGCATCACCATTTTGGATTTTAAAAAAAAGAAGAAATGGGAAGCCTGTAGTAGGAACTATGTAATCGACTTAATGAGGCGAGGACACACCTTCCAAAGTCCGTCACTAGCTAGTATTAGGAACTCTGTTTCGACGTCGACGAGTGCTTCAACCACATCCGGGTCTGAGCTAAGGTGCCTCTTCAAGCTGCGGTCTCCAAAAGCTCTTGCCACTGCAAGTCTCCCATCCACACGTGGCACATCCCCTGAATTGAACACAGCCATTTCAATCCCACTGAAAAGCCGCAAACGCTAGCTATATTCGGGGCACTCTAAAACAACAGCCTCCTCAAGAACAAGGAATCCTTGATAGAAAAGCTCGAAATAATGCACAATAGTACGCTATCATGGAGAAATACACCTTGCTTAAACGAATTTAAAAAAGAAATATATCCAATGACAGAGAAAGTCTGCAGCAAGAATCCTGAACAGACGAGAAAAAGGAAGAACACATGATAAGAACACCCCAAAGGAACCCTGAGGAGAAAAACTTAGTGCTAAGACAAAACTACATGAAAGCCCGTCCTTTTAAACCGCCTCCATCAATGATATTGACTGAAGATCACCAAGGTTGATTGAAAACACCCAATCATCCATTAGTCTGATAACTTCCTAACTGAGTAATTAAACATTCAAAAATATCGTTAATTTTTTTCTTAAGATCCCTTTCAGGTCAACTGTAAAGCTGCCAAACAAAAATATTCTGCTAGACACCCAGAAAAGAACTGTTTTTTTTCAACAATTATCAGAATTCATGAAAATATGCAGTTTGTTGTTAACAAAAAATCCCAACTCCATTTAACCTTCCAAAACCTAAGGGTTGCACATCAGCGGAGGAAAGGCTGAATCCCAATCTGCTGTATAGAGATTTCCCCATTAAACAGCAGATTAAAAAGATGTTCGGGTGAAATATTTTTAGTAGCAATGTTGGAATGTAGAATTGCTTTTCATGTCCTTCACCAATAAATACCTATCTCTGTACAAATCAACTGGTTGGTTCTTGGTGCAGACCAAATTTGCAGCTCTCTTTTTTATTTTTACTAACCTTTTCCAATTCAGAAACTGTATTCATTTGTCCGCTATCTTGTCTTCTTCTAGAGAGAAAATGCTCACTACGAACACATCTTGAAAGGCAAATAATTTCAGGACCAGACTCCCGCTGCAAACGTTTCGAAGATAGATCTTGTGACAATACACAAAAAAACAGACAATTATCAGCATTACACGTTTTGCCCGTCATCAGTGATCTCTTTTGGGGATTATAAATCGAACTGTAGGTTGTATGGACGTGTACATGCCTACCCTCCCAAAATATTCTCATTGAGCCTCAAAAGTGACTCAGCATATGTCCTTTTGCAACCAAAAACGTACATACTACTCTGTTTGTACACTGATTCTTGGTTTCTTTCTCCGATAACATCTCTATTTCGACTCTTGAAGACCAATAAGATCAATAACATGAATTAATGTTGAGCCATGGCTACTCCAAATTTTCTTCCTTATTTAAACCTCTCTGATTGTAGGACAGAAGATTCACCGTCAAAGATGATGATCTTTACTCCCTAAGCGCCATGAAAGATCATCACTGCCACTTTCGCCAACTTCTTTCCATGTTACTTCTGGTCCTTGAATAGTACAAAGCCACAATTCATCTCCTGACTGTGATCCATCTCTTATGGACCAGCTAACCCAGAGTACTCTTTTCACATGTTAAGTAGATACGTATAATTGTTGAAATGAAATGCCAAACTAAACTAAAAGCGAAAGTATAATCTGCTAGCCCTTGGGATATAGATAAGCTAAAGAACCTAGTGAAATTCATGCAGATGTCTCTAATATTAGTGTTGCATGAGATTAATGGGCCCACGTTCTTTTCTGTTAGTGTATTATATCGTACATTGGGCTTCACTGCTCTAAAATAAAAAATCTCAAGGGAGACTAAAAATGCAGCTTATTTTCTTCTCCATTGGTCTGGCATTATGACATTCTGCAGCGATTCCTCCATTGGAAGAACCCAAATGTGGCACACGAAATATCTATCAATAGTAAAAATATTGGCACATTTTTTATATTAAATAAGTAGATCCTGCTATCAGTCTATGGATTACGAAATGAAATAAAAGCTCCATAAGAAATATGCCGATTCACAGACAACAATTTAAGAGAAGCTGAATATATTTCCATACAGCTAGATGAATCACGAAGTGATTGCATCTCATCCATAATAAGGGCTCAAAAGGATTGCTTTTCATGACAGTTTGACAACAAAACACCACCAGACATTAAAACCTATCTTCCACCAGCATCTTGCAAGATAGGGTTGGGATTTTTAGGGGATGGTGCACAGAAGAAATGCATTTGACAGTGGGCAACATTTTCCAGATGCATTCGTGGGAGTGTTATAATGGAGGGTGCCTAATGCCTCTATGGCCATAAATTTACTGTCATTAGCATAGAAGCATGCGCCAAATCCAGTATGTATGTTCTTCATGCGTAAAACATTTTTGCGCATGTAAGAAATTAAGAAGCCCTTCTAGCGCTACCCTAAATTTTGACATCTATCGATGATCTTATTCCACTACCTTTCAACAAACAAGCTACGATATGAAACCCTTAACAAAAATAAGGTGTCCAGACAGAGTTTAACAATTTTTGTAGAAACCTAACAAGCATTTCAATAAACAGAAATATTATCACATGGTTTTTGCACATATGTCGTTATGCTGTCTATCAAAACGTGTAGCAATAATATAATATTGATCTTCAAAGAATAGTCTGCCTTTTCTTTTCTAAAAGAAACTGCATCTCTTAGGCAACAGAATAGTTCCTTAGTCGACTAGATGTATTAGTAAAGATCTCGTGAATTCTTCATATATTAAGCAATATTAGAGGTTCGAAAATGTGATAGTGATAAAATATCATTGATGCTTCTAGGCAAAAAGTTTACACACAATTAAAAAGGGCACATTACCAGGGATATTTGAAACGAAGCCACCTTTTCTCTCAATGGCACGCCTTTCAATGCTTGGCTCATGATCAATTGAGAGTTGTATGGCATCACCACACTTGCAAAGGACCGCTCGAGAATCACCAACATTTGCTACTATTAACCTCTCACCATCAATTAATATTGCCGTAACCGCAGTTGAACCTCCCCTTCCCAAGTCACTTGCCTTTTCCAAAATGTGTTCGTCAGTTATTCCATATGCTTTCCTGATTGCACTTTGTATGTCAGTCCAGAACTCGGGCTGTTTGCAGAAGAAAAACGATAATAAGGATGTACTGCAGTTAGTATCTCCACACTTTCATTCAAACATATTGATGGGAGTCCAGATGGTACAGTCAATGAGAAACACACGAAAAATGGCAATAATGATGAATTTTCATAGTGTACGCCCACTTTTGTTCAGATGCATAGCCAAGCTTTTCATGAACGCGAGAAATTAAGGACATAACGATACCATACTAAAATCACATAAGAAGTACATCTGTCCTTGATAAAAAGAGCTTTCCCTCGTCGTCAATACCATGGATATTATGGAGGATAGAAAGATGATTTATTGAAAACTATGTCGGCTATAATCTCATCGGATAGCATCGTTTTTCTTGAGAACAAAACACTTATTACTGAAGATTTTTAAAAACTCCCTGGTAGCATATTCGATACAAGCTAAGGAACGAAAGTCAAATATATCAACTGTCTGAAAAGATATCTTGATGCACTAACCTGTTTCAGAATATTGTCAAACAAGTGTGCCTGTAAGTAGTCAGCTACATTATGCCCAAGATGCCCATCAAAAATTGCAAATAAACCAAGCTCTTTGTCATTCACATGCCGAAACTGTGCCACAACATAATCCTCCATGTCATGATGTGATTTTCCCTTCACCAAATGAAATCCATGTCTGATATGTTTGCCAGAAATCTTGCTCTTTCCTTTCCCCGTTTCTGATGTCGACGAAACAAATCCAGCCTTGACCTAGCAAAAAACCAGTGAACAAGGATATGTTAGTGATGGGGAAAAACATGACCCATGCCTTGGAAATTAAACTCCTGAATAATCTATAAAAATTCAAAGGAAAGAGATGCAGGTGGAGAGATAGGCAACATGAGAAATTTTATAAGAACTTAAGTCACGTGCACAATTTTGAATCGTAGAGGGCACTCCACAATTGAAAGGATACACCACATATGTTGCACTAAAGTTGGATGTCTGGTCTTTCTCCCGTCCTGGTATCAATGCATACATAAGAAACAAGAATATTCACAAATGAACTTTGTGTGGCTCCGACTTCTAGTAGGAATTCGTCTATCCTCCTTTTACATGATGACTTGACCTAGACATCCAACTCTTTTTAAGGTTGAAACTTAACATTAGAAAGTGATCAATATAGTTGATGCTTAAGATCAAATCAGTAGACAAAATACCACACCTTCACTACACTTTTTCAACAATGTGCCCACGTCGGTAATAGGTAAAGGTAATGGACAATTGTACCCGAAGACTTTGAGGGAGAAAGAGAGGAAGCTGAGGGACAGGAAGAGAGAGAAAGAGGCACATAAAGCCATACAGTTCATTAGTGAAACTGTAGACCTTTTTCTCACAATCACACCTCAAGACAGAGGGTGCTATGTTAAACGCCAGCGGAATTGATACAAGGGGCTGTAAGTTTGAAATGAGTCATTGATCCACTGTATCAAATAACTAAACTAGTACCCAATAAAAGATGAGCGACTTGAAGAACACATGATCAACACTCGCCCTCAAGCTTTACGTTGACATCATATATGTGCCAGAATTTAGTTAATACAGGAATATTTTGGGGACACATCTTTTCTTGATCTCCAACGTGAAAATAAGGAATAAAGAATCCTCCGAAATCTAGTTCTCTGTAACTGTTGTTTGAAGCCCGTTTTTCCTGCTGATAGAATGATTTTAACTGAAAGTTTTTGATTGCAATCTACGAAAAAAATCCCACCCGAGACACAGATTGGCGCAGAGGAAGAAATGAGACAGACAATTCAGGCAGTCCAAGCGGCTGATTCTCCTAGGGGACAGCAATCACTTTGGCTACCTCCAGTAGGAACCGGTGCAAAGAAACGCAAAGAATCCAAGATTTCTAACGCCACAGATTATGTGCCCCTGAGATCTTCTACCAAATAATCAGAAATAGATAGGCCATATGGCTCCGGTCGTCAATAGGGAGTTCACGCAAATCATTGAGCTTTGCTTACGGAATGAAGACTGGCAAATAATCATCAAATTTTCCATCCGCCATTGACGAGCTAAAAGACAGGAGGCGAATTGACAGGTGAACGAATGAGGGAATAGATAGCACGAGCGTTGTCTGCGGAATACCGGGATAATCCTCGAAATAACGGAGGAAAATCCAGAATTTGGGATAATCGAAGGAACTATGATACGTCTACCACAGAACGGAGGGCACATACCTTGTCCTTCATCTTATGCAGGATCCCACCCCCGGACATTTTGTTCTCATAAGCGATGGAGCTTGGACGCCTCTATTGTCGACTGCAGAAACAAAACAATCGATCGAACAGTCGGGGATCGCAAAAGTAAAGTCAGGAAGAAATGGAGGAAGAAGGGCGAGGCACGTGGGGCGTGTTTCCACTGACTTTTTCTTGGCTCTGAAAGATGATCAATTTTGTTTAGGGGGCTGGACGTGGGGTCGGCCGTCATCGGCTCCGCATACCACCGATTCTACCCTGCGGATGTGTTGCTGAGACCACTTCAGCAGCGGCGGGCGGCGGGCGGCGGGCGGCCCGCTACAGAGCATGCCGACGACCCCAGCTAGCTTCGGAGGGCCCTCCACTCGCATCCACAGTGGTATTATTGTCTACTAAATGTTAAACAAATTCAAATAATAGTTGTCCTCTGCCCCACCTTAGGCAAATGGATTACGGAAGTGATGGACTAAGAAATAAGGTTATTAAGGAAAGGAGGTTTCCCACCGACTTTTGGTACGGAGAAACCACGAGAGCGCCACCAGAAAAACTTTTAGTGCGGATCATTAGCTACCATTAACTTCATGGCCTACTTGTTCCATGAGTCTTTAGTAGCGCCATAACAACCATTGAAAGTATTGAGGTTATTAGTGCAGAGATTTAGACTGATATCAAGAGTACAATGCCATCCGTGCAGATGGTCTGAAACATAGGCGATATGGCATGCCATGCTCGGAGGGTAAGAGGCTTATATATATATATATATATGCATGATTTTCAAGCAAATGACACTACAGAGATAGAGTGAAGTTTCAGAAGTGATATCATACGCCTTACAATTGTGATGGTATGAAGTAGCTACATGACAGTGGGACATTGTGTCACCATAGCATTGTATTAGTATGGCATAGTGAGGCGTGCTAGTCTATTTCGCATTTCCTGGTCTAGGTGAGATTTTCAATATCTAGGCAAGTAAGGTAGATGGATTGTTAAGAAAGTCCTTGGATGCAGCCATGAGTTCATTTAGGAAAGTTCATGGAGGAGTATTTACATAAGAGAAGATAGTGGCATAATCTCAAAGGAGGTTGGCTCCCTATAAGAGTGTTTTATAGAGACATATATTTATTGTCCAAATGAGAGATTATGTAGATGAAGGCTACTCATTGTTGACTTCTGGTCACCTAGAGTTGAACTCCCTTTCTGTCGCCATTTCTAGTGCGGTCAACAGCTATGTGGTCTCCTTGTTGCTCACTTGGTTTAAATATTGATGACTTTCAATAGGCCAGGTTAGAGGATAAAAAATATGCTGCTACTGCCCTCATTTCAAGCCAACATCACCCTAATCTCACCTCATTAAATTATCTAATAGAATACATGTTTGTTTTTACGAAATCAAGTTTCATCATTGCTTAATGTGCCTAACTATTTCTTTGAAATTGATTAGTTGTTAAAGTAGGTGACCCAAGTATTTGACTTTGGAAGCATAAATAGGATGACAAATTGCATAGAAGGGTAAATTGATAATTTTAAGATAGTAGAAATATTATTATTTCAATTATGACAATTATTATTTTTATTTTAAAATAGTAGAAATACACATGTTAGAAATCAATTATTATTTTTTATATGAAATTTAAATATAACTACACCCATCATTGTCAAATATAGTCACTAAGAAGATATATATAGTGAAACAAATAAAACATCAAAATTAGAATATTTCAAGGTTTTCTGTTTTCTACAATGTTAACCCACATTTAGGATGCTTTAATTGAGGTGTAGATGTAACAGAAAATGGCTTGATTTCCAACTATTGTGAAAGACTATTTGACAGCCAAAATGCAAATAAATAAGGAGTGGACTTTGGTTCCCATTATAAAGGGGAGAGATAGAAAAGAGGGGAGTGACAATCAAAAGCCTACACACACCCTTCACACAAGAGCTGCTTTAAAGCATTAAGCAAAAGATTTCACACTTATAGAACATTTCCACTGAAATGTGTAATGTTAGTAACAAGTTCAGATTCTCAATCGAACTATGATAACAATTTTTTCATTGCAGGACAATGCTAACTTATTGTACTCAAGTGGACCTAGAGTTCTCAACTTAGAAAAAGATAAGTGGTGTGCTAATCTAATTTTGGTCCACTTGAGACCTAGATCTAAAAGAGATTATTAATATGCTAATCGCATTACGACCAACCTAGATTAAGAATCTAGAACATATTAGTTGGATGTTGGTCCTATCTGGCTGACCTAGAGTCTTGAATTAAGAGGGCTTTTCAAAAATACCTAAGGTAGTTTAAGCTAGCTAATCAGATGATAGGCCAACTAAAGCCTTGGGATTCCATAATAAATCATTAAATATTAGTGTAACTTGAGGACAAGGTACTTGGAAAGTGGTAAGTCAGATTGAGCCAAGCACTCTAATTCTATGTATGCCTGGAACTGAGTGAAATGATTAGTAATTTACTAGTGTTCACAAATGTTCATTTTACCTCCTTTTTCTTGATGTTGCCTCGATATAGTGAACACTGACCTGTCAATAAAACGTACAAAAGGTTTGTGCAACATAGAGAACTTGATTGTATGTTTAGCATAGGAATAATGCTTTGTTGAGATTGGGTAATAAAATTTTGTTTCAAGTGTGAAAAAGGAGGATTTTCAAAATCATATCAATTTTTTTCTCATATGCCTTTAAACTTATCCTTGGTATATAATATCTTAAGTATATAAGATTTAGTAGAAGATGCATTTATTGTGTCAATGTATCATCAAAACCTTCTAATGCATTCCAAAGGATTTCTTGAATGCCACATAAGAAAAAAACAATAGTGAAGGCTTCCCTTATGATTATTGATTTAAACTCTTGGAATTCCATAACAACTTTTACACGAAGTTTTCCTCAATAAGGGAAAAGGATTGAATATTTTGGAAGCTAGAAGTTGAATGTCAATAAGGGTAACACATTCTAACCTTGTATTTAGAGTGCATATCAAGGCCCATTAGAGGTTGAATCTAGAAGAGACTAGTTGTGGCTAATCTTATTGGTTCTAGCATTGAGTCAAGAAGAGAGTGTCTCCTTTAGTTGATCCACCTAGAGCCATGAGTTTTGGAAGGAAATTAGGGAAAGCTTGACTTATATCTAGCTTAGAAATTTATTAGACTGATAAACTTGAAATTCATGTAACATTAATAGATTGCTGGAACCCAAGACTAAAGTCTTTGGAGAGTGTATCTATGTCAACAAGACCTAAGTATTGTAAAAGTTTTCTGATTTTTTTGATGGATAGCATGTGAAATGTTGTTATTCAAAGACTAAATATTTAATCAAAATGTTAAACAATATAAATTTAACCCCTCTTCTTGGGACTTTGTTGTCACTTGGAAGATGAAAAATTTAACATGGTAAATTATGATTAAACTCTAATTCATTGTACACACTACTTCAAGAAGTTCATAATTACACCCATTGTAAGCACCTCAATCAAATCTAAGTATTATTTTAAAGAGTGAATTACTAACATGCTTTTATGAGAAACTTGATCAATAAAGAAAAGCAAATTGATGTTTGAGAGCTTGATCAATAAATGATCTTATACTTTAAAGAGTAAGTAAAAATTGAACACTTTGATCTTTGAAAAAAAATTAAACTTACATTTCTACTACAAGTCTAAAAATTCTATAATTCACAAAGACTGTTTTAAATAAGAAGGAGGTTCAATTTTATCCAAGTTTTAATCTTAGTTTCATGTGCTACACCTAAATTTGATACATAGAATATCACGAAAAAATAATGGATTAGATATTGTTAGAACATTAAATGCATAATGTTTTGATGATGAAAAACCCACAAATGATCTTATAAAATATTGAATTAGACATGTTGTCATATACAATGTTGATTCATAGATAACTAATTTTACATATGGCATGAATTTAATAGAATATAAATTTAAGATGAGTTTACAATTAATTATCATAAATATTTAAATACAAAATCAAAGAATGAGTTTTAACTCTACATCAATTTTGAATTATGGATTTTAGCAGATTTTTTCATTTAAAATTATAAAGTTATATATTTTTGTTGAAACTATCACTTCACAATAAAAAAATGTTTATGACATAAAATATGAGTATGATGTTAACTTAGTACAAAAGGTCATACTTCTGAACCATTCTACTGCTATGTGAATATATAAAATTAATAGTCCTGTAAAATCAATATCAAATCAACGCCTTAATAATTCTCTCCAAAAAGTTATTTCACTTGACTCCTTGAATTCTTATTTCAAAGACTTTCATATTAGTTACTCACATGCCTATATTGTTGAAGCCATTTGATACAAAAAGTTTAAATATTAAGACTTACATATAAGGTGATAACATATGTACCTCACATAAACTTCTTATTATCATTATATCTGTACGATCTAACATTCATATCCAAGATGATAATTTAAAATAGAATGAGCTATTTTCCATGATTTACACCTTAGATCATTACATAATAATATTGACTCAAACATCGTTTAATCCATCAAGCTTCTATGCAATTTATAGTACATATATTAATTTCATGAATTTATATCAATATCAAAAAATCATCAAAATGATCATATGTTAATCCTTAACTGAACACCCATGCATCTGATCATCATCAAAAAAACTTAGGTTCACCAAAGCTTTATTTTTCTACATCCTTTAGAAAAGCTTAAGATTTTGATATGTGAATGAGCTAATAGTATCCAAATGGCATCTAAAATACTACTAGTACATATGTCTCATTATAACAAATTCATTCTTCATGTGGACATCCTTGAATAGCTACTTGTATTTCATTTCTAGTAACTTTACCTTCCTCACATAAGTTGTTTTTGAGAATCCACTCTGATCTTTGACAATTTTAGGTTTTGATACATGAAATGAAACCTCACTCTTTATAATTTAGTGTAGTTCTCATGCATGTCTATGACTCAAATTTTGTCTTTTAATCCTTCTCTAATGTCATTTAATAAATAA